TCTACTTAAAACTGATATTATTCTTTACATCCACAAAGCTAGACATCTGTGAAATTTTAATGAAACATTCAGAATATATTTTATTTACTTCTCTATAGGAAAGAAACATTTTACTTTTTAGCAAAAATCTGTGTCACTAGATGCTGATACTGTTTTAAGAATGTCAAGGAAAGGGATCAAGCTGAAATGAAAGTGATGTCCACTAGCAAGAATGAAATAAAACAAATATTGTTGCTTAGTATTAAAAGCTATCATACCGCTTTATGTAATATCTTTATAATCAAATCAAATCATATCAGCAACTTCACCTTTTTGAAAGCTTTCACAAGTTTCTTCTTGTCATAATCATCTGCAATTCCCTGAACAGTTGTTAGGGTTTTTCTTCCGTTTCGTTGCTGGATCCTTATATGAATGTAATCCTCAGTCCCCGCCGGGAGTAAGTCGTCGCCCTTTGTGGCATCAGCAAAGGGGTCTGCAGCAGAAAAAAAGATTAACGTAATTCCCACAAAGGAAAACACCCAAGCTCCAAAGTAACAGCATTAAGCTTTTCACTTCACAAAAAGCTTTACTTAGGGGATAATCTTGCTGTTTTCTCCCTGTTTAAAAATACACTATTAAAATCAGAGTACTTTTTTCTACAGCTGTATCAAGTCTCACTAGCCTATTAACTCAGCATTGTGCTTTCAACTACTGTGCATCCAGTTTCTTCAATGTCTTCCTGCCTAGAAACGATTTGCAGCTACAGCATCAATTTGCTTCACTATTTCTTGCAAACTGTAAATCCTGAAGCTCTGAACCTGAAAACATGGTTCCGAGAGAACATCAAGGGCACGTAAGTTTTAAATAGCCACATGCATTAAGTGAATATAAAAGTCGTATTTTTTATTAGTTCAACCGATACATACAGACAAATAAAAAAAAGCTCTTGTACACACACTCCTTTACAGGTCCAGAACAGAAGTCTTATACCTTGACAACTACCACACTACTAGCATTTTATGGCATGGATGTAATTCTTGGCTACTAATGTAAAAATATGGCAACAGACACGAACAAATGTCAGAGGCTGGCTGTAATCGAACACCCCTCTGCCAGTAAAGTAGTTGTAGGCAAGAATTGTGACAAAATTCATTTAGACTTTGACTGCAGAAAGGCCAGTTCTCAAACTCTTCCAAGCTTAGATTTATCTGGCACAGGTGAAACAGGAAGGAATTTAGCAAGGTAAAGGGTTTCTGGGTTATACTTCTTATTCTCTGTTCTCTACAAAAACATATCTAATGCTCACTCTATCAAGAAATTTTATAGCCCTACAACTTTCCTCATCAGTAGCTTCAAATAAACCTTGAAGCATGAAGTACTTTTATTTTTTTGAAGATGAATCACAAGTAATTTTTTATTTCTAATCAGAATCACGTTGAAAAGTCTGATTTTCAAAAAGCGTAGGTTCAACAGCCATGCAAACTACAATTTTCCAAACTTCCATCCAAAACTCAAAAACAGCGATCAAGTTTTGCCATTCACTTGAAACAAATGCCCCAGAAGAGTAAAACTTCAGCAGAAATAGGAACAGAAGTAGTTCAACTGCAGACAGACTGATCCTTGTAGAAACAAGAATGACAAGAGCATTAAATGGCACAGAAAGCAGCATGAGGATGCAAGCACCACAGGAAAGAAGTACAGCACTGGGAAGCTTGACCGGCTGAATTTCTAGCAAAGCATTTGTTAAAACATGCTGAATTTCACTGTGCCCCACAGCTTGCGGGACAAACACTAATAGAAAATTTCAGTCAAAGAAAGGTAAAGAGAAAGGGCACTTTTGCAAGAAGATCACTTGGCAGAGTTTAGGAATCTAGGCTGGAGATAAACCAGCACTGTAGGCATTAACAGTGGGTCACTTCAAACAAACCCTTCGGGCAGCACCTTCCCAAACACAGCTTCAGCTCCCAAATCGTGATTAACAGAAACTTCTCAGATGGCTTATATGTGCAGAAGACTAGAGATAAAACTGACAACATTATCGTATAAAGTGTTAACTTGTTCACTTCTGTTGCCTATAGACAAGGAAGGTGGAGAATCACGTCCCAGCACGGTAAACTTCCCGCTAACACAAAAGAAATTACCTACCATCTGTAAAAATCTATAGAAACAATACCCTTTGCGGGACATATATCAGGTTTTAGGATACTGGTAAGGGTAAGATGAGGCAGCAAATCAACAAGCAGTTAGAACTGAGGAAATGACTCCCTTCCTTAGCAGGGGACACGAACCCTAGACTCCCTCTGTCGAGAAAAGAGGACAACTTTGGGACTGCAGAGTTGACAGAAAAGCCCAGTTCGGGGTGCGAGCAGACATTCAGGCAGACAGCACAGGACGGGGTGTCAGAGCACAGTACGCGCAGCATCTCCTGCGGGGGCGGATCGGGAGCAGAGCCTCCTCCCCAACGTCCCCCCGCCGCCCACACAGCGCCCGTCCCGCGGCCGGCGCCACCGGAC